GTCTCCCCAAACTTCAAAAGTTACTTTCCTAAAATCAATTTATCCAAGGCAAATTTAATTTGAATAGCTATAAAAACATTTGTTTGCAATGGTGTTCACAACCGAAGCTTAATAACAAATTTTTTTTTTCTTTTTTTTCAAAATTTCAAATCGCCTATTATGATCTCATACAAAAAAAAAAAAAAATTTACCTATAGCTTGAGTGGTACTTACATGAGTAGGTTTGCTGAACTCATAATTTACATTATATTCATATTTTTACTTAGAAGAAAAACATGTGAATGCTTACTTGAGCAATTTTAAAGATAATTCATAAAGATTATAACTGAGATGAGTATGCGTGAGTACACATAAATACTAAAAACTAAAAATTACTCCACTTGTGTGTTACTGAAACAAGAAAATATACCTTTGCCTTGTACATAATACAATCCACATAAGACGGGCGGGGAGCGCCTGGGGATCGGTTAACCCACGTTACACGACGCTCGTCCCAAGCGAAGGATTCCGACTTTCTACAAAGAAAATAGCAATCAAAATTTGATTTACCGCTACCCGCGGCCATATATCAAACCGCTCTAATCCGCGGAAAGAGAGAAAGCCTAAAATCTAAGGGGATCCGACATCGACGTCGAATTGAAAATCCTAGTGGCACGAACCGTCTTAAATATTTATGACCAAGTAAAAAATACGCACAGGCCTATGAATAAATATGCGAGAAGCGTCGGATGTGGCTAGTGCTGGGGGAGTGTAAATAACTCAGGAAATAAAACCCATTTGCACATTATTCCGAACTTTTACATCTAAATTGAACTTTTTTTCCTTCATCTTATTATACTACTAGATCAATATGTATTTGCCTACCGAACCTATAGGTACATAGGTAAGTAGGTATTTAGTTTTTGTAATAGTCTTCTCGAAAACTGTTCTAAGAACTTTTAAACACCAAGTAAAACTTGAGTTAACCGAGCCGAAAACAATAAAAAATATGAGAGCTATTTAAAAATACTTTTTAAAATATTTTCGCCAGAATTTATATTTTGGTATCATGAAATTACTCTATAGTAAATCTAGGTAATTGTAATAAGTACCTAGTACTTAATTTTGATTGCTAATCGAGAGGTCTCAGAATCGGATAAGGATTATCTGGTGGATTATAAATAGCAACAGATTGCTGCAAGTTTTAAATCTTATTCAAAGATCTGTTATCCAAGTAACAACATCGAATAAATCGAGATAACGCAATAAAAATTACGTTCAAGAAACAAAACTAGCATCCCCTATCGGCAATTTTGCATCAAGATCGATCGCCGGAGGGCACTGTGCGGAGGGATCGGTGAGCGATGTCGCATTAGGGAGTTTGCATGGGGTCACCGTAAGCCGTTTCCGATAAGGCCCCCCGGCGACACGACGGAATCGTTCGGACTTTCGGTATTTTCGGCTCAATACTTGCTTATCTGCGTGGCACACTCGCCTGCAATGAACGTGAGCTGAATAATGCATTCGTCTGTCCACCACTCGCACACCAAATTGAAATTATTTTCCAATAATATATTTCTGATTGCTACGACGACGGTCGTAGGTACCTAGTCACTCGGCTGTGGAACGTAGGGTTCCATTATTTTTCACGTGTAGTAGTTGCAGTCGTTATAACACATGCAAGGGGGCTAACTCTTAAGCAGGCTGATATATGAAAATTATTAAAAGATACCAAAATGCTAAAATTCGTTAAGTTATGTTCCACCTACAACACACGTCTTAAGGATTTGTTATGGTACCTACCTACCTATTTCTAATGTCATGCTAAGTTTATAAATGACGAATGAGTGCGTTGCTATAGGAGGCCCAAAACTATGTCCAACTCCTATTGTGTTATAGGAACCTATTCATAGGTATATTCCAAAATCCCTCGCTCATTACAGTGCTCGAAAAAGTTCTCGCCACCATACCAAGATTGAGATCTCGCGAGAGCCGCGTCTACTAACCTCTCCCACATGACAAATGTACGTTTCCCGCTTTTTACGCGTCGAGGGTGTCACGCAAAAAAATGTATGAGGAAATTTACCTAATGGCTGCGATTCTTTATTCTCTATCGCCATTGTCACGCGGACAATGCTGTAATGGAGGGATGACGTGAGTGGACTCTTCACGACACGCTGGGTTTTATTCTTTTCATTTTATTTGAAAAGTTCGTGAGATAGATATTTGTGAATATGAGGCATTAGATACACCTTGCTATAGTACTGTATGTGAGCAGGTACCTATGTACAAATTCCCTTACCTAATTTACCTACAAAGTGTTTCGAAAGGTTCAAACTGCAGATGGGTCCCCAGATAAAATGATCTGTACCAATTCACGGAGTTAATTTTTGCCTTTTTGTTAATTAAGAATAGAAGCAGAAGCGACACATTTACGAACGGTTTTCATTATTACTTCCTATGTTGATTATTTTTTAGATTGAGATCGTGACATCTGACAGGGGTCATGAAAACTGACGGACAATTTAAAAATAAATTAAATTGAAAATATTAGTGATTTATGTCATGTACCTACTATGTTTGTTTTTTATGTTTACGTAATGTGAGTAAAATTAAATAATACGCACTACTGAAGTAAAGTTTTGAAAACGAATGGCACCAGATTTTCCACAATTTTCCAGTTTCCACAAAAATATTGCCAATTAGATAACTCGATTACATGCGAGTGTCGTGCTTCAGAGTATGAATCACCATAAAAAAATGTAAGTAAGTAGTATATAGGTAGGTACTACTTACTTACTTACATTTCAGGTATGTAGGTGTGTTTAATTTTTTTGTCATAGGTAGGTACTTGTTTATGAACAAAAATGAATTAAAAATACTAGATTTACGTGCTTAGGGACTCCTTCATAATAGGAAACAAGGTATAAGTAAATAAAATACGCCATCGGCGCGTACTACCGAAAAAAAATTCTTATAATGAAACAACTACATACCAATTACAAAGTTTTGTTTCACTTTAAAAATGGATGCCTAATCTACTGATAAGTCTCCTTTGTCATAACAATGAGTGACTTAAAAAGTACTCTGTGTATTTATGTATGTACTATGCATAATTATTTCATGGTTGTTGTATTAAAATATATCAGTACCTTAGGTAACTACAGACCAGAAAGCAACAGTCTATCAAAAGAAAACCTAAGTAACACTTATTTCGCCTGCTAAAGCATGCTGAAACCACATTCATCTCTGTATTACTCAAAGGATGACTGGTAGAAAATCTCCAATATGAAAATGTATGAATAATAAAATAAGCAAATGAAAATTTAAATGCAAATGAAAAAAAAATTAATAAAAAATATTAGGTACTCGGTAGATACCTAAATAAATAGATACAATTTTCGTATCTGTTGAACTACCTAATCACTGTTTATACAAAATAGGTACCAAGGCACTTTAAGTTTTTTTATTAAAATTTAATTACATGCAACTAAGGCAAATATTGTTTGCACCATAATATTCAAATTACAAAATAAATATTCACAAGATTTTGAAACAATGTTTATATTTTAGACTCTTAAGACGAAACAATTGTACAAATAGGCAGCCTGAGTAAATAAATAAATATTGATAGGTAAGCAACATAATTGTGTTTAATGATAAAATGGGTTTTATTGTCTAATACATTTCTAGGATTTTTTTAATCTATATTTATGAGTATCACTTACCCGTAATATTATTATAGGTACTTTACGAAAATGTGATGAATTATGATTGCACCAATCTACTAAAAATTTAAAAAAATATTTTTAATTGAAACCACATAGAATATTTCCTTTTCACCGACTTATAACACATGAACAATGATATATGAACAGATGATATTACCATGCAAGCCCTTATTTAAATGAGCAACATGAAGCTCTGTCTAACAATAACTGGTGAGAGACGGTGCCCGCAGCACCCACCGAACACAACCGAAGCCTCTCCGGACGAATAACATTCAAAATCTTCTAAACTCTGCCCTGCTATTGGCCAACCAACCCCTTACCCTTTGCGCGTGTGCTAAAAAATGAAAGGGTTAAAAAACAACCCTTTTTTAAGAGCTCCCCTAGTTTTGCATCCTTTTCTACACTTGTGTAGTGTGGCCTATTAGTTTTAACAAGTCACTTTTGTTTACGCCTTTTCATCTAAATATAGTAGGAAAAAGAGATTGAAGATCATTCGAACCGAATCTATTCTATAAATTAATTATTTTTGAATATATAAAATTTCAATTATTTGATGTATGAACAAAAGATCATTTAATTATGTCAGCATTTATTAAATCGTAGATAAATGGAGAAAGTAACTAATAGACTTACGATATCATACAGAAGCATCTTTAATTTAACTTTTTAATAAAAATTTGTTATAAAAACACAACTAAAACCCTTATCACTTTGGGAATTTGGCGCGCTATGTAACTGACGTTTAATTCGTTGTACGCATTATCTGATTTTGTAAAAGTATTAAAATGTGAATAGTATGTGAATTATTTATGAATATTGACATATCAAGTCATAATTCGATATTAATTTATTATGTTTTTAATGATGTCATTTAAAATAATGAATTTATTACTTTTTCTTTCCGACCCCCGTTCCGTTTCACTTCACACATACGGTATTTTTTTTTAAGAAGTTGACAGCATTACTGATTGCCAAAAATGATTTTGACGTTTAACATAGCTAGATTGAGTTTCAGTTGTGGGATGAGTAAAACTAGAATTATAAGCATAATATTACTAGTAAAATAAAGATATACAATGTCAATGTAACGTGAAAGAAAGAAATGAAAAGAATTCCTATTATTTCCTATGTAAAATGTAAATTATCAATCGATGAGGTCAAGCACCTGCCTGACATTTGTTGTCAAAAGTTCAGAACGTCATCCGCTATCTATACATCAATTCGTAATTAATTAATTGGATGTTTGGCCGCTGGATTTCATAATACTATTAATAAATACAAGGCTTTAAAATGACTTTGTATCATTTTGGAAATTGTCTAGCATTGGTTTATGCCCCATATCATATGGCATACAAATTCTCGGGAATGTAAGTCCTATAATTATTTCATCTTCTAGGTTATTTTTTAATCTTTAGACGTGTTTTAGAGGTTTATAGTGTGTTAACCTATTTATAAGTGAGGTATTAATCAATAAAACATCTTGTGTTCTAGATCTGAATATGCAACATTCTCTAAATGTGTACATGCTGGAGGTCTTTACATCTTTACTCAGCTCTGTAAGATGCTGTTGCTAGCTACATTCTTTCCTGATACTGACAGCAGCCACATAACAGGAGAATATAATGTGTTCTTGGTAATTATAATCATTGAATTCCTGTAGTTTTATTACTGAAACCTGTTCTGAAATGTTAATATAATTAGGTATTAGAATATGACACATTATTCTAATTGACATTAGAATAAACACTATTTCATTGATGTAGTTCAGTGATCATACTGTTAATTCCAGGTGACACAAAATATTTAGCTCAACAATTGTTTTTTTTAATGTTGCCCTACATTAGGATTTTCTCCTGTTTCGTGTGTTTACAAACATACAAGTTCACATACACAATGACATGACACCCAGACCCGAAACAACAATTTGTGGATCAATACCTACACAAACCATAACTAATACAATTTTGTTGCTTGATTTCAGGAAATTCTGAAGGCAACAGTGGACTTCGCAGACTTGCTGGGAATATACTTTGCTCTTAACTCCGTGCCAGGCAAAGGTCATGCTAAAATACTCACATCAGCCATTGGGTGGGCAAGTGCAGAGGTAAGCTGATATCATAATCAGTAACAATATCTTACTGTAAGTATGTAGGTCAGTAGAAGCAATCACCTCTCTCGTTCATACATGTAATTTGTACTTTCAAACTGCTATAGAAATTCAGGAACAGATAAAATTATCAGTGTTTAAGACATTAAATGGTCCTAACAAACAACACGACTGTCAAAGCGAAAAAATAACAAATGTCATCTTATTAAGAAAAGGACTGGTTTCATCTTTCCAAGTAGCATCATTGTAAAGCTGTGAATCCTGTATGGACCTCTTTTCAACTTTGTGAGACTTCCATCAAATTTGAAGATTAAAGGAATAGAGAGTACAATTGTGTATTATAACAATTTCTGCATAGTTGACTAGTCTAATTATAAAACTGACCAACTACTTGTGAAATACAGATCAAAATGAAAGCAAAAATATTATAATAAATCCCCATCTTTTCTTATAAAACAATGTTTTCTAATAAAATTGGCAATCTATTTGCTGTAGATCATTGCTGTACAAGTAAAGTGTTGTTGAATGGTGTACTAAGTGTGGGTGATGTGTCAGGTGGTGGTGACGCGCAGTGTCCTGCTGTGGGTGGGTGCGCGCGGCTCGGAGTTCGACTGGCGCTACGTGCGCTCGTGCGCGGAGTCCAACGTGGCGCTGCTGCACACGGCGGCCACCGCGGCGCTAGTGTGGCTGTGGACGCGCAGTGACCTGCCACGCAAACATTCCCCCATCGTCATCACTCTACTCGCACTGTCTCCATACAGAGGACTCATCGAGGAAGCTGTTGGCAGCATCCTCTCCCTCAGTGCTTGGGCCTTATTAGCCCTGAGAGCCATCCACGCTAGTGCAGTAGGTTTGACAGCTTTAGGAATGTATGCTGTTCTAGCTCAACAAATTGGAATTTAATTTAAATCATTTTTAATTTCTTATGTAGATGTGTTCTTAAGTTATTCCTTATTTAATTGTTATTCCAAAATGATTGATTGAATAAAATAAGTATAATATAAGTAACTTGTCAACGATTTTTATTTTATTATTTTTCAATCTTGGTTGCCGAAGCTCTTAGTTTGCTATATGTGTATACCTGTATATTATGCACTGCTTAGTTTTTACTTTTATATGGCAGTGCTAGATATTTTGCATCTAACAAAATCCTAATAGTGTGAAAGCCAACGGTGACACCAAAGAGTATAATAATAAGTATAGATGAAGGTGACACCGTGCAGCATCGCATCGCGTTGCGTCTCGATGTAAGTAAACCATTGATATTATGATAAAGGTACCTATCTTATTACTTCCACGTTATTATTACATCTATGGACCCCTATGAAACCCTTAGAGTGTGTATACAGTTTATTAATTATTTAGTAAAAAAACATTTATTCCTATTTTTGGTTCAAAGGAAAATAGTCCGTCATGCTTATGCATAAAGGTTATACTCATGCATGATTATTATTATTGTCTATGGTTCAAATTGATCGCCCCTCTTCAATCTATGCGCAACATGTGCATGACATTGACAGTTGACACATTGACATTTTGATAAAAAGATGTGACGTGAAGAAACTTCAAAATTGGGAAATGAAAATGGCGACAACACACTCAACCAACACATTCATAGACGAGTGTTGTTTGTTGTGTTAAAGTTTCATAAAACTAACCTTTTGTTGTATTGTCCTTTAAAAATAACGTATTGTGATACGGACAGAGCAGACACCAAACCTAAACGGTGCTAGTTGTTTGTGAGATTCGTAAAAAAACGTTTAGTAAATGTATTTTTGTCCTCGTCATGAAGTTATTTACATAATTTTGCAAGAGTTCTCGAGGCGCGATGTTTACCCCAGTGTTGTTAGTGTTTTTATTGTGCCGAATTAGTGCCGAATCTGTTACAGTGAAGTATCGGTGTGAAGTGAGTAGCAATGAAACTGCTGTCACGACATTCTCACCTTCATCGGATGGAGTCAGGGGTCGTTACACTGCGGAACTGTGCGCCCAGCATAATTCTAATATGACAAACTTGACAATAAATCTAACTTATAATGATAATAAGAGTGTGTGCGATCCCACCAGAAAGCACAGATGGTACATAGTACCTGGTCATCAGCACTCTTCTAACACTGTAGACATAACTAATTTGACTAACTGTACCCGGGTAAGTTTACTATTTATTATGAGTACCTATTCTCAAATGTAGTAAAAGATTAACAGGCAAACACATTTTACATTTCCTACAGACACTGACTAAAATTGTTTAGTTGCCATTATAAGTTTTTATGTGTAATATTTTGTTGTAATGTACTGAAATGAATTGTAACTTGTAGGTGTAGTGTCTATTAGGTTTATCGAGATAAATAAAACTAATGCACTAACGTTATAAAGTCTATATATTAAAATAAGAAATAAATATACAATAATGAGATCAAATAAAGTTACGGTTATACAAAACGAGAAGAGAATAATAATTTCGATGCGCGCGCGATCGCTAGCCGTGGCGGACTGTGTGGGCGAGCGAGGGGGCGCGTGCGGGTCGAGCGCGGGGAGGCGACGGCGACGACAGCGCTCGGTGTGTCGATCGGGTGACTCCACGAACACGCGAGGCGTCCGAGTCCATCAACGCGGGCCGGGGCTCCGCTAGCGGCCAGGCCGTGTGTAGGTATAGCTAAGGGTGTGTACAAGCGTGCGGAAGCATAAGGCCGTATACAAATGTCGTAAAGTTTTAAGTGTTATAGTATGAATGTGGGTGTATGTGTATGTATGTATGTATGTATGTTTTATGTAAGTATTTATTATGTATATTATCTTGTACCTTAGCTATATCCTACATCACTCCCCCGCTGAGACCGGTTCACGGTCGATAGTGAGAAAGGTGCTGTGGGAATCTCACAGTTCTCCCGCTTCTTGTGGTGGTCTTGGGTTGCAACTGTAGCTGTGGTGGAACTGGCGATGGGGCAGATGATGGTTGTGGTGACGTCGATGGAGCAGATAACGGTTGTGGCGTCGACGATGAGTTGTGTGCCAAGCCATCATCATTGTTTGCCATATATGCTGGTTTAAGCCTGTCAATGGTTACTGTCATGTGTTTCCCTTGGACGTCTATTATGAAAGTTTTTGGTCCTCTTTCAATAACTAGATGTGGACCAGAGTACGGTGATTCAAGTGACTTCTTCAAAGGTCCCTTCCGCAGGAATACATGAGTGGCTGTATTGAGATCTTTGGGAACATAAAATACTTTCTCGCCATGACACGTAGTTGATGCAGGTGACAGTTTAGAAATATGCTGTCTCAGTCGTGCTGCGAAGTCTGCTTCATCAATGCTGTGGTGAGTTATGGGTTTTAAAAACTCACCAGGTAACCGGAGTGGCTCGCCGTATACCAGTTCGGCTGCAGAGGTTTGTAGATCCTCCTTCCAGGCACTCCTCATGCCAAGGAGAACAAGAGGAAGTGTCTCCGACCATTGTGCGTTGTTGTGGCACATGATGGCGGCCTTCAGCTGTCTGTGCATCCTCTCCACCAAACCATTGCACTGCGGGTGGTAGGATGTCGTGGGGCGATGGTAAGCGCCTATGATGGACGAGATGCTCTGGAACAGCTGCGAGTCAAATTGCTTGCCTCGATCCGTGGTGATGGTTTCGGGGCACCCGAAACGAGCAACCCAGCCAGCAATGAAGGTACTGGCGCAGGTCTCCGCTGAGATGTCAGCGAGAGGATACGCCTCTGGCCATCGAGTGAATCTATCGACGGCTGTAAGGCAGTATCTGAAACCAGAAGATAGTGGCATAGGGCCTATTATGTCAAGGTGGACGTGGGAGAAGCGATTGGAAGGAACAGGGAATGAGGAAAGAGGAGAGTGAGTATGACGGGTGACTTTGTTTCGTTGGCAATCTGTGCATTGTTGAGCCCATGTTCTGCAGTCACGACGAATCTTAGGCCACACAAATCTTTCTGAGATTAGTTTTGCTGTTGCGTTGGGGCCTGGATGACTGAGATTATGCAGGTTGTTGAAGATTTGCTTACGGAAAGTCGGTGTGATGAATGGCCTAGGGCGAGAAGTAGACTGGTCGCAGTATATGTAGGCATCCATAGTTTTTACTCTCTCTAACTTTAATGCAGTATTGTTATTTAGCAAGTTTTGTAATTCTTGATCCGTTTCCTGTTCTTTCTGTAGTTGTTTGTAGTTGATGGTAGTGTCGACGCTTTCTAGTCGTGAAAATGCGTCGGCAACTACGTTGTCATTTCCAGTAACATGATTGATATCTGTAGTAAATTGCGATATGTAGTCGAGGTAGCGGTGTTGACGGGGTGAGCAGTTATCTCGGCTTGTTGTGAAGGCGAATGTGATGGGTTTATGGTCGGTGAAAACTTTAAATGTTCTCGCTTCGAGCATATACCGAAAGTATTTGATTCCTTCGTGTATTGCGAGCAACTCACGATCATAAGTGCTGTACTTGGTTTGAGCAGGAGATAACTTGCGAGAGAAGAATCCTAGTGGTTGCCAGCTGTCACGTCTTCGTTGTTGCAAGACAGCTCCGATGGCAACATCTGATGCGTCTGTAAACAGTGCTAACTCGGCCTCTGGATCAGGATGCGCGATGAGCGTAGCTTCCAACAGGTTATTCTTGCAGGCGTCGAATGCTTTTTGTATATCAGCTGTTACTACAATGGGCGTTGACCCTTTAATGTTAGGACCACTTAAAGCTTGGTTCAGGGGGGCTTGAATTTGCGCGGCAGCAGGTAGGAACTTCCGGTAAAAATTTATCATCCCTAAGAATCTCCGTAACTCCTTAGCTGTTTTAGGGAGGGGGTAGTCTTGAATAGCCTGTACTTTATCTGGGAGAGGTCGTATACCGGCTGCAGACACGTGATACCCTAAGAAGGTAACCTCACTGACACCTAGGACACTCTTGCTGGTATTAATAACTACGCCATATTTTTTTAGTTGTTCGAATATTTTTGTCAGGTGTGCTATGTGTTCTGTTTCTCCTTTTGAAAATACGAGAATATCGTCGAGATATCCAAACGTAAATCTAGGCCTTGAAGAATTTCGTCTAAAAATCTTTGAAAAGTCTGTGCAGCATTTCTTAGACCGAATGTCATAGCGGTAAATTCAAACAGACCGAAAGGTGTCGTGATTGCGGTTTTATTGATGTCGTCTTCATTAACTGGTATCTGATTAAAGGCTTTAACAAGATCTATTTTAGAAAATATGGTTGAGCCTGACAATTGGTATGCAAAGTCGTGGATGTGTCTCACTGGGTATCTGTCTGGTATTGTTCGCGCATTTAGTCGTCTGTAGTCGCCACACGGCCTCCAGCCATCGTCTTTTTTAGGTACGAGATGTAGTGGAGACGACCATGGACTTTCAGAGCGACGAGCTGTTCCGTTTCGCAACATTTGTTCGAATTCTTGTTTTGCTATCTTTAAACGGTCAGGTGCCAAACGACGCGGTCGTGATGTTACCGGCGGGCCAGGAGTAACACGAATATGGTGCTTGGTATTATGAATGGGTTTTTGTTGTGAACCAGCTGGTCTTGTTATCTCAGGGTACCTGCGTAGTAGGTCTAGGTAAGGCGAATTACCTGTAAAGGTTTTTAACGACAATAATTCGTGCGTTATTTCATTAGTTGAAGGCGCGCCAACTGTCAGGTTTGTAATCGAGTCTATCAATTTTTGTTGTCGACAGTCGACTAATAAATTATAATAACTTAAAAAATCGACGCCAATGATGGGTCTCGACACGTCTGCTATTATGAACTTCCAAATAAAATCACGGCGTAATCCTAGGTTGAGTGACAGTTGGTATGTACCATAAGTACGTATTGGAGTACCATTCGCTGCGACGAGCTCATAACTGCTCTGTTTACCATACGACAGCTGATTTTTCAAATACGACCTAGGGTAGGCACACA